CAGAGGCCCCGGGTGGAGAGATCTCAGGGAGGAGAAAGATTCGGACTCTTCCTCGCACTCTCCCCGCTGCCTGGAGTCTGAGCCTGGCGCTGGCTTTTTTCTCCTGATCTGCTAGGGAAGGCATTTCCCCTGCAAGCCCAGGGCAAGGGGGACGTGCTTTTGTTCATGGACCGGGCAAGTTTCGGGAGAAGAGGGGGGGTCGGGAGAAGAGGGGGGGTCGGGAGAAGAGGGAGTCTTCCTCACTACCTCCCCCCTTGGAGTTCTCTTGGAGACTGTGTCTTCGGAGGGGGGGGGGGGGGGGGGGTCTTGGAGGAGAGACAGGAATAGAAGAGTCAAGAGCCAGGAAGACTGGCTGGGGAGAAGGAGCTGCCCCCAAACAGGCATTGGGGGAGGCAGCAGGCAGGCAGATGGGAAAGACAGCGGTCCCGCACTCCAGCAAGATCAGCAGCTTTGTGAAAAGTGGGGAAGCGCCCCAAACCTGGAAACTCAGAAAAGAGCACAGTTAGCTCCGATTTCTTTGCAGAGGTTTCTCGAAGCATCTCCCTCCTTGCGTCCTGCGATCTCCCAGCCCAGGTCTCTCCCCGGTTTCCAGTAGGGCCCTCCCAACCTTGAAGATGAACTTCACAGACAAAGCCCGCATCCAAAGACAACACCCAGGGAGGCCCAGCCCCCACTGGCCTGGTGGAGGGGGAAGGTGGGAGGAGGGGCCAGGACAGCCCCTTTGAGAGCAGCCTAGAGCTGGGGAAGGGGCGGGCTATTGACATTCAGGGCCCCTAGTGGAGCCCGGTCCCACAGGGGACAAAAGGGCGAGGGATGAAAGGGAGCGAGCCGGGCCTGGCACCCCGCTGTGTCGGCAGGTCGAGGAGCCTCTGGTCTGCAGCGAGAAGCGACTCTGTGCTGCTAAGGAGCGCCCAGCCCAGAGCCCTGGGACCCCCTGTGGGGGGACCCACTCCTTACTTCACTTTGTAGCAGAAAGGGCTTTAGCTGGACTTCTTTTTTTTTGGGGGGGGGCCACATTGAACTTGAAGTGATCTCTTCCGGTGCTGTACCGCAAGGCAGATACCGTTTCTGAGAAGTACCCGGGAGAGGCGGAAGGAGGTTTGGTTTCATATGGAGAGGCTTGAGGGGCGCGTGTGTGCGGCCGGGGTTTGTCCAGTTCAGTCTATGCAGACACAAAATAGAGAAGTCTGTTCTGAGAAAGAAGGAAAGGGAGAGGACAGGAAGTGTATGCTTTGGGGGAGCCCCCTGACTCCAGGGAGACCGGGTGTTTCAGGAGCTGGGCAGGGCTTACAAAACCAGCTAAGGGACAACTTCGCCCGAGAGAGGATTTCCCTGCGGCACCACCAGGAAGCTCCATATCTCGAAGGGTGTATGAGGAGGAGGCAGAAAGCACAGGCGCTGAGTCGGGAGGGGGGCCGCAGAACTGAAATGGAACCCGTAGGTCTGGTGTCAAGAAAGCCCGGCAGTTTTTGAGGGACAGCGGGTATGTCGGGCGCCGGGACTGTGGGCTGGGTGGCTGTGTCAGCGCATGTGACTCTCCGCACGGTCCCATGGACCTCTGGATCATTGTGCCCTGGGTCGTGCTCTGTGCAACTGCGATTCCGTGTGGATGTGTGAGGTGATTGTACGTGGGTATGAATGGGCCGAGCGGCAGTGGGGATGAGAGAGGGCTGCCTGTCCCTCTGGGGACAAGTCATATCAGCTCCCTGAGTACCTGAGCCAGTAGGCAGGCATCCCGGTGGACCCCCCCACCCCCCACCGTGGGAGCCTCTCCTCTCTCCCCCAGGCCCCAGCCATCAGTTTCATGGTCAAGTTAAAGGTGAAAAGACCTCCTAATCTCTACCCAAGTTGGCCAGGTGGAGAGAGGCAGAGACGCCTCAAAGAGCAGATCAAGGCGAGAGGTGCACACCCACAAACTTTGTTTGGGTTTCTCGCTCTTGACAAATGCTTTCTCCGGGGGTTGCCCCTCTCATGGCGGGGAGCCTTGGAAGAAGGGGTTTAAGAGCTCTCCTCTTTAAGCACTAAAGACAGATTCCTCCCTGAGTCCGTTTTTCCCTATCGTCCGCTTGGCATTTAATAATGTTAAGACTTATTAGAGCTGGTAATGAAAACTGGGACTCCTGAATAGGAAACTGTGTTGGAGAGGGGTGTAATAGCTTCCAGGCATGGTAAGAAACTATTTATCCGCAATCAGTCCTCACTCTCAGAGTTTGAAGCACAAACGTTAAGTTGAAGGGTTTTAAAGCAGATTAAATTGAGCTTTTATTTCTGTGCACTTTCATCTCTGAACAGCTCACTCCTGCTCCCCTTGGGCTGATATTCATGAGGCTGTTCATATTTTTTTTTTTTTTTTGCTCTTATCCTTGTTAAGTCTGAGTTATTAGGATTGTTGGTTGTGAGAATTTCAGACCGCTGCATAGAGGGGCTCCGGCCATGCTCTGCTCACCTGGAGAGGGAAACCGACGGCTCCTTGCCCTCATCCACTTGGACCCTCTTCTCCTCAGCCCTTCTCCGGGGATCAGGGGAGAGACAGGCCCAGAGACCCGACCCGGAAATAATTGAGGAGGGACGGAGAAGAAAAGATTTTCCTAGCTTGAGCCCAGGGAGACTCTTGTGGGAAATTTGATAGGGGTTTGCAAAAAAAAAAAAGTCAAACCATTTCTCTGTGGGAGCGAACGGAGTCAGTGTAAAGAAATAAGCAGAGGTGAAGGGGGAAGCAGTATCGATAGTAATAAGCAAAAAGCACACCAAAACCTCATGCATCTGACAATGCATGAATGTAGGCTGAAACTGACCAGATCAGACGCGGGGCTCCATCGGGCCTCTAGGGTACAGCGCCCAGAGAGGTCACAATTAATATGAAATAAGGAAAGGGGGGGGTGTGAGTCGCAAGATTAAAAGGAAGAGTGTGCATTTTCCTCTGTGGGGAAAAGTGCCATTGTCAAGGTTCGTCGGAGAATTTGCTGACTTCGCCCCGGATTTGAAAGATCATCCGAGGTGGGGGCCGCCCGGGGTGCAAGTGAGGCAGATCTGTGTTTCTTTCCACGTTTCCTTAATTTATTGTTAAAGCCGCAAACGCACAGGTGTGGAGTGGGAAATGACGGAGAAGGATCGGAGAGGAGAGGAGAGCCCGAAGTGTCGGTTTTAGACACTTGTAAAAGGAGGTGGGAAACAATTTAATTTGGCAGCGCGGATAGCAGCTAATGCGGTTTTCGGTCGTTCGCTACAGTGAAGGAAGCTGTTTTGATTGTGTGTACAAGGACCTGCCAAATTTAATTAGGCTCCGGGGGAGCGCATGAATAGGGGAAGGGGGGGCCCGGCTCCCCTCTGCCCACACCGTTTTTTTTTTTTCCTCTTCCCCCGGCTTCACACCTGGAAAGGGCATTGTTTACCGGAGAGGCGAGAGCTGGCGGAGGGAAGGGGAGGAGGCGCAGAGGGAGAGGGGCCTTGGAAGAGGGAGCCGGGGAGGGGACGAAGATAGTCCATTTATCAAGAAACAATCTGCATTGATTTAAACCAACAAGTCCCCTCCTCTGTAAATGTGTGTTTAGAGAAAGGCAATTGACACTCCACCAAATCAGAGGATTACCCCGGGTTGGCAATCTAATCAAACAGCCCAGGCGGGATTTGAGGCTGTTCAGAGTGGGATCAGCTTCGCATAATGGGGGCTCGGAGGAAGATGGGAGGGTGTCAGGCAATTCCCCGGCTTTAGGCTGAGCTCAGTGGTGGATATTCAGTGAGACCAGAGGGAGAGAGGGAGGGGGCGAGGCCTCTGCGCGCCCGGGTGGTGGGGGGATGGGGCGGGGGAAGATCCCGGAGGAGGGGGCTCCCGGCGAGGGGGCGAGCCCGCACTGGGCTGACAAGACTCCCCCTTTCTTCCCTCCATCCCCCCGACCGAAGGAGCGAGAGGGGAAGGAGGGAGCGGAGAGAGCCCAGAACAACAATGAGATAACTATTACAAAGGCAAACACTGGCGCTCGCGCGCGCGCTCGCAGCCCCGGAACCCGCGGTAAATAAACAAAGTCGGCAAACTGTTTGCCAGATAAACTCGTGCCTAAATCGAGTGTGACGGGCAGGGAGAGTCGAGACAGAAGGAGATAAGGTTGGAGGGGGAACGCACGAGCATAATCTAATAGAAGACATTTAGCAAACAAACTTGAAACAAGGACAGGCGAGCGGAGGGTGATTATCCGCCCCAGAGACGAGGGGAGCCTTCGGAGGGCTGGGGGTGCGGTGGAGAGCCCCCCGCCCGGAGCCGCGGAAGAGCCGCGCGGAGGGGGGAGGCCTTTGGGGGTCCGCGGGGAGC